TTAGTAGTTAGTTAGTAGTTAGTTAGTTAGTTAGTAGTTTGATTCTCCCAGGAATATATTTTAAACAATCAAACCTACCTTACAAAATAACAGTTATTAATTAAATTTACAAAAACAAGACTCATAAGAACCGAAACCTTTTACTTAATTTGGGTATCGATCGGATGATAATTGACTCCCATACAGGTTTAAAATTCGATCAAAATCATCACTGAGAATTTTTACAGAAAATTACTAATGTAAGTCGGTATGGTCGGTTAGGTGAACTATAGACCGATCTTCATAAAATTTAGTAAAGAGATTATGGTTCCTATAAGACTTATTTTTGTCTAACTTCATAACTATGTGGTTATTTTTAGTCTAGTTACGAGTGTTATAGTTTAAGTTAGTATCTCACGAGAAAAAGGTCAATTATGGAAAAGGGATTTTTGTTGCCATAAAATTTATTTTAATTAAATTTTAATAATTTATAAAATTTATTTTTTATGCTAAATAAAAATTCTCTCCGTATGCTGGTATTCTTTCATAAAAACTTTACCCACTTTTGTTCTCGTGGCTCTTCAATATTTTACTTATTTATATAAAATTTTTTCTCTAAACTTTTATTTTAGAGAAATTTTATACATAAATAAATTAAAATAGCAATGTTGAAAAATAAAATCTGAATAATATAGTTTTTATAAAATATTATGAAAAATATTTCTCTGTGTATATATAGTATACGCATATCTTCAATTTAATGACAAATACTATGATAATGGGTTTTGTCTACAATATTTACTAATTTTATATGTATATGAGATTATGTCTTCTCATTATTTTAAATTCTTGAGATATAGTGTCATTATTATTAGTCAAGTGGGTGTAGCTTTTCTGTTACGTTTCACGTAGACAATATATTAAAATGATTGCAAAGCATTTTCTCTCAAACTCATGATAATATATAAAATAAATTTGGAAAGAGTGAAAAATAATGGTTCAACATTAATTTTTTCCCTAATGTAGTATGTATTTTATTAACTATCACACAGTGAGTCAGAATACACTTTTCTGCTTTAATGTGAATAAAATTTGTTAAAGCCATGGCGACTCAAAATAAGTTTTTGTTTTCTATTCGCTTCTTATACCCACCATCAAAAAAGATGGGGGATATATTGATTTTATCATTCCGTGTGTAACACATCGAAATATTGTTCATAGACCCCATAAAAAATATAAATTCTGGGACCTCGTCAGATTCCAAGACGATCTAGCTATGTCCGTCCTTGTGTCCGTCACTAATTCGTTGGTTATAAATCAAATTTCTCATAAATTAGTTTTTTTTTACTTCCGAAATAAAATTCTGAGTTATGGCAGACACATGACCACAAAAAAAATCTCTCTACCAAATTATATGTGGTTCAGGCCTTAAATGACCCCCACATAGTGTTCCCAGGGGTCTCCATCAGAAAATTACTTTAACGCTCATTACTGGTTTAAAAATGCGAGTACAGCGATGAAATTCGACACTGATAAGTTCTATAGGAACCGAAATCTTTCTACCAATTTTTATGAAGATCAGTCCATAATAACCCCACCCCATATAAATTCCCCTTAGAAAATGACTACAACGCTAAAAATACGAATACCGCAATGCAATTCGACATAAACTAATTTTAAGGTAAAATCTCTCGACCATATTTTATGAGAATCGGTCCATTATTAACCCTAACACTGTATAATGTCCCTTTAACAAAATGACTTTAATGCTCATTACTGGCTTAACAATACAAATATGATCTATGGCAGTGATTTGGTGTTTATATAAGATTCGGCATAGCCGAATATAACACTTTTTCTTGTTTTTTTTAATATATACCCAATATAAGTAGCTTTCCCACTGAGCTGAAAGCCTGCCTTTGTCGACTTTTTGTTTTTTCATAAATATTCTATAAATAACTTTGCTAACAAAATAACTTATTTCTAACCAAATAATAAGGACTCACTTTTGAAACATCTCAAAAGAAATATTTTTTCTAGTAGAAATGTAAATACTTTACTCAATAAGATCTGGTGAATTTCTAAGCAAAATTTTTGTTGGGTAACTACAAGTAGTTTGTTTTCTGTGCTGTATCAACAAATTATTGAATTTATTTTTTTTTTAATTTCAAAGGAAATGTGAAATAATAAAAGAATCCTAATGGAGATAGCTAAATTGCCTTAGAATTAAATAAAGACTCAAAATATACATATATAAATATACTTACATACGAAGTGAAAAAACTTCTGTCACCACTGATGGTGGTATAAAAAGTAGGGTGAAAATATGAATTTAAACTTTATTTTTGATAGAATATAAAATTTATTTTTAGTTGATAAAATGTATGTTTAATTGTTCTATAGATATTTATTTTGTAATATAGGTGCATATTTATTTATATATGTATAATAGCTAAACTATTAAATATTTTATTATTTTTTTAAATAAATAATCCAACAGGATTACCATTGAATTTGTATAATTGTTTGTATTTCTTTTTTATAAAACTGTAAAAAAAAATTTTATTAATATTTTCTGCGTATAAGCAGTATAAACAAGTAAGAAATTATAGTCGGGCGTGGCCGACCATATGATACCCTACACCAATTGCGAATATTAAATGTGATTAATTTCAATAACTAAGCATTTCTGTTAATCTTATATAGGTTCCAAATAATGTCTGTTCATGCTCTGTTGTATGCTGACTAGGAAAAATAGAAGACCGATTTTAATCATTTTCAACAGCCATCGTCAGTGGATCAAGAGAATAGTATGTGACACATTTTAACAAATTATATTCAAAATTGCGATCTGTTGCGTGCACACAAGTTTTACACGGTCACAAAGACGGGCATAAGGACAAATATTTTTGAGTGCTACAAACATCACTATATTGTGCCGACTTTTGGATAGATAGTAGTATATTAGACGTAGTTAAAAGATAAACGACCGAAATCGGAAGGTCCGGATGTATGGAGGCTAAGGCAGAAATTGAGCCGATCCTTATAAAATGTATTATTGGGAATTATCTATATACATATATAAAAATGAATATAGACATATATAAAAATGAATGTGTGTTTGTTTGTATGTTTATATGTTTGTGTGTTTATATGTTTATATGTTTGTATGTTTGAACGTTATATACTACTAAACGGCTAAACCGATTTTCTTCAAATTTTCACAGCACATTCGTATGTCTGGCAATAGGCTACTTTTTATTTCCGATCAATTACATATCAAACTTAGTTGTGCCAATTTTTATGAAGATAGTAGTATATTTATCGTAGTCATGAGCTAAGAGGCCCTAATCGGTAGGTCCGGTTGTATGGGGGCTAGGGCAAAAATTGGTCTGATCCTTATAAAATTTAATGTCGACATTTTATATAAAATGTTTATATAAAATCTATTTGTGGAAAATTTCATATTGATACTAGTGTTTATAAGTGAATTGTGGACATTCAAGTCATTTCCTGAAGGGGATTTTGTATGGGGGATAGGGTCAAATAATGCCCGATTATTATAAAAATCGACAGTGTTATTTATAATTATATCCAACTTAGTTGTGCCGATTTTTGGAGAGATAGTAGTATATTTGACAAAGTTATGAGCTAAAAGGCCCAAATCGGAAGGTACGCTTATATGGGGGCTAGAGTAAAACTTGGTCCGATCCCTATAAAATTTATTGTTGGGAATTATGTTTATATAAAACTCATTTGTGCCAAATTTCATCGTGATACTACTGTTTATAAGTGAATTGTGGACATTCAAGTCATTTTCTGAGGGGGACTTTATATGGGGGCTAGGGTCAAATAATGCCCGATCTTTACGAAAATCACTAGAATTATTAAGACATATATAAAACTAAACTTTTCCAATTTTTGTAGAGATAGCAGATCATTTAACATAATTATGAGGTCAAAAGCCCTATTCGGGGGGTCCGGTTGTATGGGGGCTAGGTGAAATAATGGACCGATTTCAACCATTTTCAATAGCGTTCGTCCATGGACCAAGAGAAGTGCATGTTCCAAATTTCATCAAATTATCTCAAAAATTGCGACCTGTAGAGTGCGCACAAGGTTTACATGGACACACAGACAGACAGACAGACAGACAGACAGACAGACAGACAGACAGACAGACAGACAGACAGACAGACAGACAGACGGACGGACGGACAGACGGACATAGCTTAATCGACTCAGGAAGTGATTCTGAGTCGATTGGTATACTTTAAGGTGGGTGTAGGACCAATATTTTTGGGTGTTACAAACATCAGCACAAACGCATAATACCCTCCCCACTATAGTGGTGTAGGGTATAAAAACAAATAAGAGTGCTATATTCGGCTGAGCCGAATCTTAAATACCTTCCACCAGCTACTTTTATATTAATACTTTTCTAATTGACAAAATATTTGTAGAAATGAGTTTTTTCATGTCTTAAATAAAAAAATTCCAAGACATAAACAGCTTAAATTTATTACAATTCCAAGATTTAATGTTCATTTCGCCATTTCTTTATATTTTAATAGCGCCTAGCGATATTTAGTAATTTGCATGTATGCATGTGAGTGAAAGATTTAAGGATTTTCAAAATACATATATATAATTTTGTTCTACACAAATTGATAATGCAACTAGTTAAATACGGTTAAAGTGCTTTTAAGGGCAGGACCTAGTATTGGAGATATGACCAATTATATACTCTAAAAAATGCGTGTAAAATTACTACTACGGAGAATGTAATTTTTAAGAGAAAATAACAAAAAATGTGTAAATTTAAGCATAAAAAGTTTATAAAAATAATTACATGTTTTTAGCAGCAAAATACATACAAAATGTAGTATTTTGTATTATTTGTATACATGTTTATAAGATAATAAACATTTTAAAGTTAAAATTACATGTATTCTATTTAAATTTATTTTTTAAACAAAAAAATGTGTAATCATACCAATTTGAATGCAGTGATATAAAAACGTCACATTTTATTTTTTAAATTATAAAAAGTTAGAGAAATTTGTTATTTAAAACACATATTTGTTATTTAAAACGGTACAAAATACTTAAAAAGGCTTAAAAATATATTCTAATGGTGGGGAAACTCATAAAAATCATCTAACGAATAAATGTGTGTAAGTCGCCAAATGAAATAATTTTTTGTTTTGAAATTTTTCAGAAATTGTTATTTTTGTTTTTCCAGATATTTTCAAAAAGAAAATTATAATTACAATATTTGCAACAAATGACTGTATAGCAATGAAGTCGGCACCAATCGCTAAAAAAAGAATTGTGGCTCTTCCGGGCATATAATTGCAAAAGCAATAAAAATATATGTACATCAACTTCTTTAATGCATTGGGCCAAAATAAAATCTCATTCAATACTAATATTAGGATTGATTACAGAAAAAATACATTTCAAGAAGAATAAGAACTGAAGAGCTTGGTTAGCTAAGCAGTCTTTTCCATATTTTATTCAGAAATATAATGAAATATTATATGGAGTCATAATATGACTGTGGTCTTACTAATAATATGTATATTTGTGTTCTTTGATGTATTTTTCTATTTTTTAATTACGTATTTATCTTTAATCAAATTTTGGTTTTATCTTTATCATTAATTCTAATAAAAGTTCTTGAAAAACAGTTTTAACTCATTTTTGTTTTGTTTTGGAAAAAATGTGAAGTTTATAACAAAGCATTTTAAATGTATATATACATTTTGTCAATGTTACTTTAAAGAATTTAATTTTAAATTTACACATTAGAAATTTAAATTTACAAAAAAAATTCTTTAAGCTAAATTTGTGTACATAAAAGCTATACTTCAGTCAAATTTTGTATCTATATCGTAATTTTGTAATAAGTTATGAGTGTTTATGTGATTTTCTGAAGGGAAACTTGTATGGGACCGACAGCACCCATGTTATGAACCGATCGTGAAAAAATCTTGAAATAGAATTTTTGTATACAAAACTAATATTTGTGCCAAATTTTGTATCAATAGCTCTATTTGGTAATGAGTAATGTGCGTTTAAGAGATTTTCGTAAAAGGACCTATTATGGGAGCTATAACCAATTATGTATATAAAGACAAAATTTTAAAATTCTGTATCTATATCATTATTTGGTAATGAATATTGTGCGTTTAAGTGATTTTCGGAAGGGAACCTTGTATGGGAGCTATGACCAAGTATTTATGTACAAAAATAGTATTTATTTATGTCACTATTTGATAGTGAGTTATGTGCCTTAAGTGTTTTTCTGAAAGGGACCTTGTATAGCAGCTGTGATCAATTATAGACCGATAGGAAAATAATTTCACAGTAATGTTTTTATGCATATGCGTAATATCTGTACCATATTTTATATGGATATCTTAATTTAGTAATGAGTTATGCGTGTTTAAGTGATTTTCGGGAGGGGACCTTGTATGAGAGCTATGTCCAATTATGGACCGATCCAGAAAATTTTTTCTCTGAATGAATTCTATTGACATAGAATTTAAATTTGTAAAATTTTGTGAAGATATCTTCATTCTGACGGAAGTTATTAACAAAAAACCCATTTTCGGGAATATGTACTTTTGTATGGGAGGTATATGAAATTGTAGACCGATTTTAGCAATTTTCAGCAGAGCTCAAGCCTTTGTGTAGAAACGAATGTGAAGTAATTTTCATAGAATTATCGTGCATAGTTTTCGAGAAAATTGCATCAGAATGTGTAAAAAATGCTTATTTTTTTTGAGGTTGTTTTAAATTTTGATACATAACTTTTCCCGGTGTGAACCGATTTTGCCCATTTTCACTACCAAACAACTTAGGAAAATAAAGAATATTTTGGGTGAATTAAATTAAACTCCATTGTTTCGTTTTATCGTTAGCGTGTTTTACACAGACAGACGAACAGACGTACTTAGCTAAATAGACTCAGAATTTTATAAGAACCTAGAATATACAAAATTTGTTGGGTCTCAGATGAATATTTCTTGCTAATACACACGGAATGACGAAGTTATATATACCCTCTATTAGCACTGATGGTGGTGGAGGGTATAAAAACCTAATTGCTTACATATAAAAACATGAAAAATTGCACACAAATTATGTGGATTTATTTCAATAAATGTCACCGTAAAAAACTTTGTGGTGTAAAATAAATGTAAAGGTTTTTATAATACCCTCCACCACCATCAGTGGTGATAGAGGGTATATATAACTTTGTCATTCCATGTGTAAGACCAAGAAATATTCATCTGAGACCCAACAAAGTATATATATATTCTGGGTCCTTATCAAATTCTGAGTCGATTTAGCTATGTCCGTCTGTCCGTCTGTCTGTGTAAAACACGCTCACGATAAAACGAAGCAATAGAGCTTTACCAAATTCACCAAAAATGTTCTCCATTTTCCTAAATTGTTTGGTATTGCAAATGGGCAAAATCGGTTCACACCGGGAAAAGTTATGAATCAAAATTTAAAACAACCTCGGAAAAAAATAAACATTTTTTATACATTCAGATGTAATTTTCTCGAACACTATGCAAGATAATGCCATGAAAATCACCACACATTCGTTTCTGCACAAGATCTTGATCCCTGCTGAAAATTGCGAGAATCGGTCCACAATTTCATATACCTTCCATACAAAAGTACATATTCCCGGAAAATGGGTTTTTTGTTAATAACTTCCGCCACAATGTCGATATCTTCACAAAATTTTACAAATTAAAATCTTATGCCAATAGAATTCCTTCAGAGGAAAAATTTTATGGATCGGTCCATAATTGGACATAGCTCCCATACAAGGTCCCCTCCCGAAAATCACTTAAACGCGCATAACTCATTACTAAATTAAGATATACATATAAAATTTGGTAAAAGTATTGCCCATATACATAGAAATATTACTGTGAAATTTTTTTCCGATGGGTCCATAATTGGTCATAGCTCCCATACAAGGTCCCCTCCCGAAAATAACTTAAACGAGCTTAACTCATAACTAAATTAAGGTATCCATATAAAATTTGGTACAAGTATTGCCCATATACGTAGAAATATTACTGTAATTTTTTTCCGATCGGTCCATAATTGGTCATAGCTCCCATACAAGGTCCCCTCCCGAAAATCACTTAAACGCGCATAACTCAATACGAAATTAAGATATCCATATAAAATTTGGTACAAGTATTGCTCATATACATGGAAATATTACTGTGAATTTTTTTTTCGATGGGTCTATAATTGGTCATAGCTCCCATACAAGGTCCCCTCCCGAAAATAACTTAAACGAGCTTAACACATTACTACATTAAAATATCCATACAAGGTTTGGTACAAGTAATACTCATATGCACAGAAATATTACTGTGAAATTTTTTTCCGATCGGTCCATAATTAATCATAGCTCCCATACAAGGTCCCCTCCCGAAAATCACTTAAACGCTCATAACTCATTACTAAATTAAGATATCAATATAAAATTTGGCAAAGTATTACTCATATGCACAGAAATATTACAGTGAAAATTTTTTTCCATCGGTCCATAATTGGTCATAGCTCCCAACAAGGTTCCCTCCCGAAATCACTTAAACACGCATAACTCAATACTTAATTAAGATACCCATATGATACAAATATAACTCATATGTACAGAAATATTACAGATAATTTTTTTTTCCGATCGGTCCATAACTGGTCATAGCTCTTATACAAGGTCCCCTCCCGAAAATCAGTTAAACGCACATAACTCATTACTAAATTAAGATATCCATATAAAGTTTGGCAGAAATATTGCTCATATACAGAGAAATATTACTGTGAAATTGTTTTCCTATCGATCCATAATTGATCATAGCTCTCATACAAGGTCCCTTTCAGAAAAACACTTAAAGGCACATAACTCATTACCAAATAATGATATAAATAAATACTATTTTTGTTCATAAATACTATTTTGTAATGCAAAAAGCACTTAATGCTATTTCAAAAAATTTTCATGATCGGTCTATATTTGGTCATATCTCTCATACTAGGTCCTGCCCCTAAAAGCGCTTTAACCGTATTTAACTCTTGCATTATCAATTTGTGTAGAACAAAATTATATATATGTATGTATTTTTAAAATCCTTCCCAATAAACATCGATTCAAACCTGTGAATATTTTTGAAAATTTTCTTAACTAAATAATGTATTTTCCAAATTGTTTTCAAATTTTAAAGTTTAGCCTTTGAAATAAACATGATAATTTCAAAAAACGTTTAAAAAAATATAATGTGTGATATTTATAAAATTTTCAAAGTTTTGTTTTAATTGAACTTAGAAAAGTTTCTTTCAAAAAATAAATTATTTTAGAAAAATTAAAACAGAACATTTTTTCTACAGCAAGGGAGCGAAAAAACGTTAAATATAGGAGAAATAATCGGAGATATAAAAGAAAAATATGCTAAAATAAATGTATGAATGTTTTATTTTCAGGTGATGTAAAAAAATATATGAATTTTGCAATAGTTAGCATTATAATTAGGGTTTGAAATATGTATGAAAATAATAATAAAGAATACTTGAAATACGTTTGAAAATTTTTTTAGTTTCAAGCTTACCTCTAGCCTTTTTTTAAATTTGAAATACATTTGAAAAATACGTTTGATTTCTAACTGCCTTTTTGTTTGAAAAGGCCATAATTTTCCATTTGAAAACAAAAATTTTCAAATTTGTTCTCAAAGGCTATGTATGAAATTTGAATAGGTTTTCAAATACATATTTACATCATTTCAAAGGTTTTTGCTTATTGGGTTAAATCTTTCACACACATGCATACATGCAAATACGAGATATCGCTAAAGCATATCTTAGGGCGCTATAAAAATTTAAATGAAAGTGGCGTTTCTAATGTTCAATAAGTCTTGGAATTGTAGTAGATTTAAGCTGTTTAAATCTTGGGATTTTTCTATTTAAGACATGAGAAAACTTATTTCTACAAATATTTTATTAATTAGAAATGTATTAATACAAAAGTTGCTGGTGGAGGGTATTTAAGATTCGGCTCAGCCGAATATAGCACTCTAACTTGTTTTTTATCATTTTGATTTATTTTTTATTTGTTATATTGAAAATATAATTACATTATAGATAAGTATATATCTTAAATAAAATCAGTAAATAAATTATGCATTTTTTGTGAAACTACTTATGTTATGATTGATTTTTTTCTAAATTTTTAAAAACAGTAGAGGACAATAAAGGATGCAGTATAATGACGTAAAATTCTGTCCATTTGAGAAGTTTACAAAATTTTTTTATAATTAATTTATTTATAAAAATTTATTATTTAGAGAAAGCTTTGTTTATTAACTTCAAACTTTTGATCTAATTTAATTTTTGCATTTTGTTAAAGTATTTAATTTAACTAAAATTTTTCCTAACAAAAGAAATAAAAAAATTTTATGTTAATTAATTCTCAAAAGTAATGATTTTTCCAGTTTGTTTTCGCTAACTTTGTTATTTTTGTTTTTGTGCGTAAATTTGTACTTCCAGTTAAGAATCTTTTTATCTCTTTATTGTATAATTTTCGTTGTTGGTTTAAAGAATTAATTAAAAAACTTTTTCTATGAAGCAAAATTTAAAAAACCATTGACAATTAGGTTTTATTTATTAATTTTCTTAATTCAGTCAAAATATCAATGCCAAATCTTCTTTTATCAAATAACAATAAGGTCTATTATATTCGGATATGCCGAATATTTTATGCCACTAAAATAAATACATTAATGGCGAATTTGATCCCGATTTATTTTATAAGCAATGAAATTTGTCACTTTATGTGGTTGTCGAAAGTGGACTTTATATGGAAGATATAACCAATTATGGACCGTTCGGAAAATATTTTTCAGATTTTTCAGATCTATACACGGAACGTAATTATGTCTAAATTCAATCCCAAATCTTTATTTAGTTTTCGATTTTGGACCCTATATAGGAGCTATTAGAAATATGATTTCTATTGATATTTAACATGAACATTTTTAAGGAAAGAAAAGAGACAGACGGACAAACAGAGGGAGATAACTAAACTGATTCATGATCAATTTCATAAGGACCTTGAATATGTATTCCATGTTCGAAATCAGATGAATGAAATTTTTTTAGACCTATTTTGGTTGATATAAAATATGTTTACATCTAATATAAATTCCCGACACTTTCCGCACGAAATTCGGTAGGAAGATTTACGATCCTATAAAAGTTTCATAGGTTTTGGCTCGTAAGAAACTTACTTATATCATATTTTATCTCTATGCTCGTACTAAGGGTACCTTATATGGGGGTAGGGTCAATTATGGACCGATACTCGTATTTTTAAGACAGTAATTAGCGTTAAAGTCATTTTCTTAAGGGGACCTTATATAGGGGTAGGGTCAATTATTGACTGATACACATAAAATTCGGTAGAGATATTTTGACTCACATGAAACTTATGTGTTTCGAATTTTATCGCTATATTCTTATTTTTAAGCCAGTAATGAGCGTTATAGCCATTTTCTGAAGGGGATCTTATATAGGAGGTAGGATCAAAAATTTGGTAGGGAGATTGTGGCTCATATGAAACTTATTTATGTCGAATTTCATCGCTATACTCGTAATTTTAAAACAGATATGCCCATTAAAGCTATTTTTCGGGGGTCCACTTGTATGGAGACTATCCGAAAACGTTGACCGATATTACCACGGACTGAAAGCAAGGACTCTACCGTACTTTCAACATACAGACGGACATGGCTAGATCGTGTTAGAATTTAATAAGGACCCAGAATATATATACTTTTCTGGGTCTATGACCTATATTACGATGTGTTACAAACGGAATGACAAAATCAATATACCACATCCTTGAATAAAAAAAGGTGTGTTATCAAATGTATCAAATTATTTTCTGAAAAACACCAGAAGGAGACAAAAATTTACTTTTTTGACAATACTTTTTACCAATTTCCATCTAAATCTTGATTTTATTTCACTATATAAGTATCATATAATTTCATGCTGCATATTCAATATAATATGTCGAGCACATTATACATATTATAATGTGCCCCACATAATCTTAAATGTGCACTGGTGCAGTTAATTGAAGTTTATTTTGGGGATTTATAGCTTAACATACTTCACCTTAAGCTAATAAGATTAAGAGCAAAGCTAGGAAATCGAATGTCAAATTAGATTTTTGTTTGACTTTGATATAACCCTTAAAGTATTTATGTATGTATGATTATAAGGCTATAATGCATAAGTAGCTAAAATTGTTAAGCATATAACATAGTTAGAATTAGTAATATTAAACCTTTTATGGCAAAGAAAAAACACAAATACACACAAAACGTTATGATAATATATAGATGAATTTTGATGTGTTTAAGTTTTATATTAACCGAAATCTCTCTATCAAAGATTATGACGATCGGTACATATAAAGCTTCATATAAGGTCCCCTACACTCTTATAAATTTTTGTTTAAATTTACACTATTTATTGTAGGTAACCAGACTCCTAGTATAATTAGTGTAAAAATACATGTCGAAAAATATTTAAAATTTTTAAACATATTGTATGTAAAAATATTGGATACAAATTTTGTATCTCTACCTATTATGTGTTTAAAAATGTTTAGCAACATTCCAAATTCATGTAAATTTAAATTTCTAATGTGTAAATTTAAAATTAAATTCTTTAAAGTAACATTGACAAAATGTATATATACATTTAAAATGCTTTGTTATAAACTTCACATTTTTTCCAAAACAAAACAAAAATGAGTTAAAACTGTTTTTCAAGAACTTTTATTAGAATTAATGATAAAGATAAAACCAAAATTTGATTAAAGATAAATACGTAATTAAAAAATAGAAAAATACATCAAAGAACACAAATATACATATTATTTGTAAGACCACAGTCATATTATGACTCCATATAATATTTCATTATATTTCTGAATAAAATATGGAAAAGACTGCTTAGCTAACCAAGCTCTTCAGTTCTTATTCTTCTTGAAATGTATTTTTTCTGTAATCAATCCTAATATTAGTATTGAATGAGATTTTATTTTGGCCCAATGCATTAAAGAAGTTGATGTACATATATTTTTATTGCTTTTGCAATTATATGCCCGGAAGAGCCACAATTCTTTTTTTAGCGATTGGTGCCGACTTCATTGCTATACAGTCATTTGTTGCAAATATTGTAATTATAATTTTCTTTTTGAAAATATCTGGAAAAACAAAAATAACAATTTCTGAAAAATTTCAAAACAAAAAATTATTTCATTTGGCGACTTACACACATTTATTCGTTAGATGATTTTTATGAGTTTCCCCACCATTAGAATATATTTTTAAGCCTTTTTAAGTATTTTGTACCCTTTTAAATAACAAATATGTGTTTTAAATAACAAATTTCTCTAACTTTTTATAATTTAAAAAATAAAATGTGACGTTTTTATATCACTGCATTCAAATTGGTATGATTACACATTTTTTTGTTTAAAAAATAAATTTAAATAGAATACATGTAATTTTAACCTTAAAATGTTTATTATCTTATAAACATGTATACAAATAATACAAAATACTACATTTTGTATGTATTTTGCTGCTAAAAACATGTAATTATTTTTATAAACTTTTTATGCTTAAATTTACACATTTTTTGTAATTTTCTCTTAAAAATTACATTCTCCGTAGTAGTAATTTTACACGCATTTTTTAGAGTGTACATAAAATGATTTCACTGTTCATAACTGACTTTAAAATTTCAGTATACCAATGAAATTTGACATTAAGGAGTTTTATATTAACCGAATTATCTCTACTAATTTCTGGGAGGAACGGCCCGCAATTGACCATTACCCCATACAAGGTTAACATCAGAAAAGGTTTTTAATTAATATAGCGATTCGACATAAACACAATAATTCATAATTCACTCATTCCTCATATAAGACTCCCATCAGAAAATGTCTTTATTCTTATGTTTTTCATAACAGCTGTAAACCGATCGTGAAAACAATTACGATAACACTTTTGAGGAAGGGGAGTTGTGTGCGCCAGAAAGGCCAGAAAATGCTAAAACGATTGGAAAATAAGGTTGACTTTTGATGCTTTAAAAGCTGTACTAAAAAAGTGGAAAATTATAGTCCAGCCTTCCGACTATATGATACCCTATATCAACGATATCCGATAGGTCTAGAGTGGCACTAGATAAAAATTTCCAATTGTCACAGAATTTGTTAAAATGTTTATATTTGTATTTATTTCTGTAAATAACTGAGTATGTACCAAACGTATTCTTGTTCCCTTTAAAATTATGATTCATCTTTAAAATCAAATTGCAAAAAGCTTTAAAAAAATCGATTTTTTATGTGTTAAAAAAATATTCTTCCTTAAATTAGGCACCTGTACGTATACGTGTTAAAGATTTATCAGAATCATAAATATTACGTATACGTACAGGTGTCATCAATAAAAACAGTGCAATTTCATAATGTAAAACTTTTCGATGAAATTACAAAATAAAGACGTTTCTTGATTCTATATGTTCATTATGACAAGAGCTATTGCCTCAGAGAGTAAATAAAAATTCCAAACGGCTGCGAAAATTAACACTTTTTCGCTCATAAAAAAGTGCATGAATTTTGGCAAAACTGGGAGACATGTAATTGTTTTGGTCAAATAAGAAAAATACTAATAATTGTAATCAAAAAATTATACTACTTGTTATATATTTATTATAAAAACTCTTAAAATTTTTAAATCTGGAAAAATTTCTTGATATTCCTATCATAAACTTTTATAACTATAATAAAAATTCTGAAATTTTAACCATTTAAGGATAAACAAATAATATTAGGCTGTGCCGAATCTCATATACCCACGATCAAACCGTATACCATAAACGGAATGCTCCCCTATAAACACCAGGGTGATATTTGGAATATGGCTTAAGTCAATTATGGACAGAGCTCTTTTGAACAAACAAAATATTAATTTTTAAAAAGTAATTTTCTGAAGAGAACCTTTATATGGGTCAATTATAAACCGATACTCATAACATTTTGTATATAGATTTAGATTGTATAGAACTTGTTTATGCTAAACTTCAGCGCAATACTCGTATTTTAAATAAGGAAAACTCGTATTTTAATAACCAAAACTCTTTCCTGAAGGGAACCTTTAATAGGAGCCCATACAAGAAGGGGACCTTGTATGGGCGGTGGGGTACATTATGGACCGATCCTCCCTTAATTTGGTGGAGAGATTTTAGGTCGCATTAAACTTATGTGTGTCAAATTTCGTCACTACATTCATATTTTTAAGCCAGTAATGAGCATTATAGTCATTTGCAGAGGGGGCCTTATATGGGGGAAGGGTCATTTATTGGCCGATCCAAGAAAAAATTGGTTAAAAGTTTTGGTTCGTAAGAAACGTACTTATACCGAATTTCATCGCTATACTAGCATTTTTGGACCAGTAATGAGTGTTAAAGTCATTTTCTGAAGGGGACCTTATATGGTCAATTATGGACCACATAAAAGTTGGTAAAGAGATTTTGGCTCGCGAGGAACTTAATTGTGTAAAATTTTATTGCTTTATCGTTAGTCATTTTCAGAAGGGGACCTTATATGGGGGCAGGGTCGTTTATGGGCCGATCCTTAAAAAAATTGGTTAAAAGTTTTGGTTCGTAAGAAACGCACTTATTCCGAATTTTATCGCTATACTCGCATTTTTGGACCAGTAATGAGTGTTAAAGTCATTTTCTGAAGGGGACCTTATATGGGGGATAGGGTCATTTATTGCCCGATCCTAAAAAATATGGTAGAGAGGTTTTGGTTCGTAAGAAACGTACTTATAACAAATTTCATCGCTATACTCGCATTTTTGGGCCAGTAATGAGTGTTAAAGTCATTTTCTGAAGGGTACCTTATATGGGGGGTAGGGTTATTTAAGGGCTGATCCTCAAAAAATTTGGTAGAAAGATTTTGGCTCATATAAAACTTATTTATGTCGAATTTCATCGTTATACTCGTACTTCTAAAGCAGTTATGTCCATTAAAGCTGTTTTTGGAGGTCCACTTGTATGGGGGCTATCCGAAAAAGTAGACCAATATGGCCCATTTTCAATACCAAACAAACCTCAGCAATGGAGAGTATTTATGCAAAATTTCCTAGCTCCTCTCGAGTGGTTCCTATCGTGATTTCAACAGACAGACGGACAGACAGACGGACATGGCTAGATCGTCTTAGATTTAATAAAGACCCGAAATATATATACTTTTATGGGTCTATGACCAATATGACAAATGAAATATGTGCGTTTACGTGGTTATCGGAAGTGGGCCTTATATCTGAGCTATGACCAATTATAGACCGATCCGATGCAAAGTGATACATATATGTGTCTAGTACACATTATAACATTATTAAATTTTTTGAAAATTTCAAATCGGATCTATCCATTCCACATAGAATATAAAAAGGTACGTCGAAAAAGTGTATCACTTTTTCCCGAGCGTTAACAAAGTTAATTGTGGTTATAACCCTAATGTATACACAAAACGTATTTACATACGTCAATCACACTTTTTTATGGAGGCTAACGTGAAATTTTAGATCGATTGTTTTAACTTTGAAAAATATAACGTGTGTCAAAATTCATCGAGTAATCTTTGGTAGTTTCTGAGTAAACCACTAAAGAATTAGGAAAAAATGTGTTTTTTTCCAGGTATCTGAAATTTTTACTTATAGAGTTTTACGTTGTGGAGCTATTTAGCTGATTTTCAATACTAAACTACTCAGAAAAACATTGAAAATTTTCGAAGAAATTGGTTGAATTGTTTGGGTTAGTTTTTTATAGTGGTGTTATATACTGTTATTCCGTATGTATATATATCCTATATTACCACTGATGGTGGTGTAGCGTATAACAGAAATATGTATATTGCTACATGAGTAACATGGATTACAATTTTAAGATGAAAAGATGTCAACAGATAAAAAGTGCTAAAAATGTGACGAAAATAACATACCAAATGAAAAATTTCGAGTATTAATGAGAAATTCTTGTTGCCAAAAATATTAATATGAGTGCATTGTAAGCATAATGGCTTTGTGTCTTTTCTCTCTAAAGCCATTTTGATAGCCACCATCAAAAAATATGGAAATAATTTTCATGTTAAAGCCTTTCCATTTGTGAATTCATAAATACAAACCGCAAAAACTCGGCAACATAATCACTTACTTTTCAATGACTACTATTTACCATGTGCATTACTTTTAAGTACTATTTTATTGACTTACATATAATCAGATACATTAGTACTTTGTGTGAAAACCGTTATTGGATGCACAATAAAATAACTAGGCAGTGGTGTTGTGAGTATGACATCGAACTAACGTTCGTATTCCGTGTGAGCAATTTTTTTTGTATTTAAAACAAAACTCCTTATTTGTAGGTATTATTTATATAGGTAAGTACCTACCTCCCATGTCATCATCGTGTTAAAATAATGAGTTAAAATGCTAATGAAGAAGTAGTGAAAAGCGGCTTTTATTGCCTTTTTAACTCACTACCTTTCAATGTAAGTTTTTTTTGGGATGTACCTAAATTCACAATTAAAAAGTCCCTACCATACATTACAATAAACTGGTTAAGATTTCATGTAATGAATAGTAATGATACTATTGTTTAGACAATAGCATATTGATTTGGTATAGTCTTTAAACGTAACTAAACACACAATAGAATTTTCTAACAAGTTAAGGCATGAGAAGAAAAGTCATATTTCATATGAGTAATGAACAATTTGAGATTTTTTTAAATATGACATTATCTCACAAGGTAAAGTATACCTATATATAAATCAGGGTGTTCGGTGAGCCATTTATTTCTAGTAATACCTCTCAAACGATGAGCATTAATGTACTATAATACAAGGACCCATTTCAGTCCCATTTCGAAAAGATTGCAGAAATTTTTTTTATATTGTATTGAGATCAAGATTTACAACCGCTAGTACGTAATTAAGGAATTCTTCTTACTCTTTAAACCAATTTTTTTATATAAAATTTGGCCTGTGTTATATAACATATAAACTTGAATGGATCTATCATGTGTAATATAAGTATGTACAGATATTATTTTAAATATTATCAGTTTCAGATGCGGAAGCAAGATTTATTTTTTTTCCGATTTTTTAACAAAATAATAAAAAGTCACGTTTATAAAACTTACTACAAATGTTGGTTGTATCACGAAATGGACATAGCTTTAAAAACTATGTACATATGTATGTATTTGAATTGTACATTATTTTTTATCGACAGCTTTTGAATGTTTGCATTTTAGTAATCTTTAGCATTGGTGTAC